TTTAAAGAAAAAAATATACTATGGTGCCGTGTCTAATCTTGTGACCCCCACCTTTACCAAAGCGGATTGGCATTGTGTTTAAGTTATTCTTAAATTACAGATCAAGAAAATGCATACGGAAGACTAGGGGGCACGCCTAATGAATGTTTATGTTTAGATTAAAGAAAATAATTAAAAGCTTTTCTGTGGGATTGATTTTCAGAAGCTAAATGCAACTACTAGTTCATCTGAAGGCAGCACAGTTGATATAGGAGCTCCCGCTGAGGGAGAACAACCTGAGGTTGAACCTGAAGAATCCCTGGAACCTGAAGCCTGTTTTACAGAAGGTAAGCAAAACAATGGCATTTACGGTCATAGTCTCATTTTCTCTGTCCATATGTTCTATCTATGTCTGTCTGTCTATCAGCTATCTATCTACACAGTAATTATCTATAACTGTCTACCAACTGTTCATTTCTTTGCTAATTTTTTACATTTTCTATACAAAACAAAGGCAATTTTTAAAAGGCAAAGTTTAATTTACATAATTAAGTATTCTTATTTTTATAGATCCTGTTCAACTCTAAGAAATGCTACTAACTGGCTTTTCTGTGGCCCTCTACAATATCTTATATGAGAGGAAACCAAATCACACATATCTCTCTATAGCTTTAAAAAAATAAAAGGAAAAGATGTAAGGAAATGAAAGAAGTAATTTGCCATTTACTTTTTCATTCTGTAACGGGTACTTTGTCATTCTTATAATAGCTACTAACTGAGAAACGTACATTTAAGTCTGTTCTTGAGTAACAGTTCCCTGTATCAATTAAAGTCAAATATTTTTTATTATTTCTGAACAAAGATAGGTAATAAAAATGTCAAAATAGGATGTGAGTCACATAATGTGGGGCAACATGTCATTGGAGTACTCTCAATAGGATTTTCTAAAGAAAGCTAAAATTATGTTATTTGAAGTATGGATCAATTACTATTATAATAATAATGCTGTGTATTGAGCCACCTAAAATCCTGGGCTCTAAGCTGTATACTTTTCCAGTCTTGATTTCTAACTTTTTCTGTGAAACTCACAGAGTTTCCTTCCACTAAGTTCTGCTTGTATCATTGTTTCTCCATCATTATAGCTTCATGTTCTAGATATGATTCTTATATGGCCTTCAAGATCCAGGTGATGAGTATAATATTTGAGTATAATAATATGAGTATAACATTTTTGTTACCTATCTTTGTTCAAATCCATCGCCTCCATAAAGCTCAGAAATTAAACTTTACAGAAGAACTCTCATAGTACTTTGTCTTGTGATAATTTGTTGCTTTCTATACCTATAGAATTTGTAGACAAATCACCCCAATGTAAAATGCACATTTTTTGAGGGTAAGGCTATGTTTTACATGCTCTAGTATAATTTGTCCAATACAGTTCTTTGACTATAGCAGGTATTCAATAAACATTTGTTGAAGAGCCTTTGATCTAGTAGTTCACAAATTATACAAAGCTGTTTATTACATTGCTACTGATAATGGCCAGAATTAATGCAATACATATCCAATAATAGCAGAATCATTATATAAATTCTCATAATCTTATTTAGAGAAATATTATGAAGTAGTTCACAAATCAATTTACTTGTAATAAGATGATAAATATTTATTATGCCATTTAGTGAACTAATCAGAATTCACATATATATAATATCCTTATAGGCCAGGCGCTGTTGGTGGCTCATGCCTGTAATCCTAGCACTCTGGGAGGCTGAGGTGGGAGGATCCTTTGAGCTCAGGAGTTCAAGACCAGCCTGAGCAAGAGCAAGACCCCATCTCTACTGAAAATAGAAAAATTAGCCAGGCATTCTGGCATACATGCCTATAGTCCCAGCTACTTGAGAGGCTGAGGCAGGAGGATTGCTTGAGCCCAAGAGTTTGAGGTTGATGTGATCTAGACTGATGCCACGGCACTCACTCTTCTCAAAACAACAGGGTGAGACTCTGTCTCAAAAAAAAAATAATAATGTCCAAATAGAGTGCAATTATACTCGTAAGATAAGGCAGGATGAAAATATCAGCTTTTGGTAATTGCATTTTTCTTTTGGTTTTTCCATTTTTTAATGTATGTTTTTATAATGTAATATAATCTGTTATAGTAGTCCTATAAACATAAAAATAAATATTTTTTGAACAAATGATTAAAAAGCCATATAGAAGATTTTGATTTCTATAAGTGGAAGCATCTTAAAAAATAAATTATTTACAGTGTATTATCAGGTAATAATGTTAGATGAATCTCTCACCAACACAAATTACATAATCAAAGAGTAATTATTTTTTCCCTGTTTACTCTCATGTATTTCAGACTGTGTGCGGAAGTTCAAATGTTGTCAGATAAGCATAGAAGAAGGCAAAGGGAAACTCTGGTGGAATTTGAGAAAAACTTGCTATAAGATAGTGGAGCACAATTGGTTTGAAACCTTCATCGTCTTCATGATTCTGCTGAGCAGTGGGGCTCTGGTAGGTGATACTTGGTCCACTCCATCTTTTAACTGAAATCCTTTCCCTTCGATTAACCTCATGTATCCATTTTTTAAGTAAGGTGTTTGTGAGAATGAGGGAAAGTATGTGTGACATGTTTAGCACAGTGTGAGAGGTTCAATAAATAGCAACTTTTGTCACTGTGTCTGGAGTAGTCCTCAGATGAAATCAAACTCAGATCATTATGGTTTCTCACAATGTTTAAAGAAGGATCTTTCTGACTTTTAATCATCAGAGGCAGTTCTTATTAAGAATGGCAATATAGATGCGATATAGGATTATCAGCTAAATATCAAACTGCTTCACGTAAGCTCTGTGCTGCAGGGAACTCACCTGTCTGGTTCACACTGATTTGCAACTGCCAGCCACGGTGAGTGGCAAATAGTAGGCTAACTTAATTACTGACTTGTAGCAAAGTGAAAGCATTATAAACGTAATTTATGTCTAATTTCATTAAATGGAATGATCAATGTGTTCAAAATATTTATTAATATAATGAAAATGGTATGACACATTTTCCCAATTGCTGACACAAATGTGGTTGCATTCCTCTTATTTTTTTCGATTGGTTAATAGACTATTTGGTGAGTTGATTTCATTAGGAGGATTATTGCATTGTACCTGGAGGCCTCTAGGCCTGCTTCTGATTGGACTAGGAATCCTGTGTTCTGTCATGTACTGACTCAATCCAAAGAGGGTCAGCCTACCTTTTTCATGCCAAGTGGAAAGGGAACTACAAAGTCTCATCAGTGACTAGTGCCCTTGCTGTGTTAACTCTTGGTTCTCAGCTATACCCAGTCAGATCTCACCAAAGGGCACAAACATGCTGGCTTCTGAGGGGCTTCAGCTTCAGCTGAGCCCCAAAGGCTTATAAGCTTTTAAGTCTTATAAGCCCATAAAGGCTTATAAGCTGAGCCCAAAAGCCTTTATGTCTTTGTGTGGAGCCCTGGCCACAAGCTCCAATCCTCTCGTTCTCTAAAAAAGAAAAATTTCCCTTGTTTTTGATCTAAGCCACCTGATCTCCCTGATAATTTTTCCTATAAGAAGATTGAGTTGGATAGATGGGCCTTTTCATTCCAGAAGTTTCAGGGGTTTCTGCAAATGAGTTCCCTACCCTTTCCCAAGGGCTCTGGAAAATTATGGAAGAAGGAACTTCCAGACATACACCCACACATGTGCAGAGAGAGGGAGAAAGAGAGAGAGATGGCAATCCTTTCCCTTTTCCCTGGGCTGAGGGGCCTCCTTGCCTTATGTCTGCATTACTGGAAGGGCACATTCCAGGGAGTCTGCACTGAGCAAGACAGAGCTGCTCCCACGTGACTTTCCATCTCCTGCTCTAGAGAGAAGCAACTGGCAATCTCTCAAAAATTTCGGGTTCTTTTGGGGTACTCTGATACCAAAGTTTAAAAATTATTTGAATTCTTTGGTTGACTGAAACACCCAGTCAACAGTCATTTGTGTACAAATAACTGTAAAGTAAAATGCAGCCATGCGAAACGCTAAGCCTTCCAGCCTTAGGAACCTGTTAACAGGCTTGCATCATTTTCTTTTCTTAAAAGACATCAATTAGAGACTGACGGTGGTGAAAAAGATTTAATAGAATTCTTTCACTTACAGGCCTTTGAAGATATATATATTGAGCAGCGAAAAACCATTAAGACCATGTTAGAATATGCTGACAAGGTTTTCACTTATATATTCATTTTGGAAATGCTGCTAAAGTGGGTTGCATATGGTTTTCAAATGTATTTTACCAACGCCTGGTGCTGGCTAGACTTCCTGATTGTTGACGTGAGTATTTTGCAGTTTTCTGTTTCATTCGTTGGCATGTGATGATATGTACTAGTCTAGCCATGGTGCTTGGCACATAGTAGGCACTCAGTAAATATTGCATCAGACCAATTATAAGTGAAGTTTCCTGTTCTCAGTGAGAGGATGCTCCCAGTAATTTTTACCAACTTAAATAATATATACTATCATAAATGAAACAGTCAAATGCCATCTTATTATACTTATTGATTTAGTTTCAAATTAATATTTGAAATTTCAAGTTATACAAAATAATGTATTAACTTAGAAATTTTGCTTTTGCTTTTTTTACTCTCATATGTCACAAAATTGCTGTATTTCAATTCTTCACGGGCATCTTTGATATTAGTATCTTTGTCATCGCTAGAGCCAGCTGATAAGTTTTTGTCACACAGATGGATTATTAATTATGAAGAAATTTGAAAGTCCAAAAAGCAAGAGACATCACTGGATTTTTACAATGGTAGAAACAAGTTGGCTATTGACCAATTATTTAAAGGTTTTATTAAACTACATTGGTGTTGAAATAAAGTAAGAGTATGAGGATTTTAAAATAATTGAATACGAGACAAATCTGCTATTAAATTTAACATACAAAGGCTACATGCAGAATTACATTAAAAATCTTCTGGAAATAAAATAAGACAATAAATAATATCTAAAATTATGTCTGTTTAGACAATACAAATGAGGGGAAAATGTACCAAAACTGTAACCATTCCTTTAATCATAAAATGGATTTATGTATGATATTATTTTTCTCTATATTTTATATGTGGTTATGATAGATTGGAAAATTTATAATAAAAATATCTGACATTTACTATATCTGTGTAAGGATAAGGCATTAAGTAAACATTACTTGAATATAAAGAAATGCCTAAGAGAAATCTAGTTATCCTGTAGCTAGCACTCATATTACCTAAAATACTCTGATATTTACCTTTTCAGATTTAAGAGAACTATCATGATAGTATATTAAACTGATCAATACTTTGCTTTAAATCAAATGTGCTTATTGTTCACCTATTTTGTTATGAAAGATACAAATATAAGGAGGTCATTTTTCTGATCCTATAGGAGCTTACAGTCAAATAGTGAGGACAGATATGCATACAATGACAAGTTGACACCCGTGATTAAAAGTGCCATTCCCTTCCCTTGAGGAAGGAGAAAAGGCTTCCTGAGGGAAGTGGAGTGTGAGCTGGAGTTTGAGGGATGAGAATTTCAGCAGGCACACATGAGGAAGCGACACATGTGTTAAAACATTGATGCATGACGTGCAGGGCTGGTTCCAGAAACAAGTGGTCCTCTAGGGTAAGCACAGAGTGCCAGAGGGTGAGGGGAACCATTTGTAATTGGATGACAAGGTAAGAGAGGTAAGTTAAAGAACAGTTTGAAGAAACTGAGTTGCCGTCCAAGGAAATTTGGAGTCATGATTTAGTAAAGACGAAGCCTTTAAAGAATTACATATAGAAAAGTGATAAGACCAGCTTGGTGTTTTAGGGAGAGAAGTTTGGTGGGGGTGTGAATGGTGGAATAGAAACAGGATTATTTAGAGACCAAGTATCCAATTAAGAGATTGCTGAAATGTTGCAGGAAAAGGCCTAAATGTATTTCCTTTTCACATTTCGCTACACAAGTCATATAAAATCGGATATTTTGCCATCTCTTTTAATCAACCAATCGATAGTACCCCTTCAGAATATTTTTCATGTGTCTAACTTTTATCTTTCATCCTTTAACTAATGCCTATCTCTTTTTGGTTCTGACTTCAGAGAAGGTAAAGTACTACAGGTCCTCATACCTTATGCAGAAAATATTCACAATTCATGATAATTCAGTAGCTGTTTTTCAATTATCTGTGAAGAGGGGACTTACAAAGACTAAAAGTTTAGCTTTTATAAACTGTATAAACCATGTAAGATAAAATGTTTATCTCTTTCTTTCTGTACACAAGAGGTTTCACTTTCAAATTGCATGGGCAAAATTAGTTTGAATAAGTCCAGTTTATTTGTAACAATTTTGTGTGTCCTTCACTTATTCTTATTAAAAAATACATTTTTCAAGTATCTATTAACACCATACTCTTAAAAGCTGTACTATACATTTATTTGTGTTTATCTGCTTTTGAAATTCAGGTGCACTTTAAGACAAAATGCTTTGTCTTAGCTTACATAATTTTAACGAATTTTCTACGTATTTTCAAAGAAAATTGGACTTGTATATGCCTTCTATCACAGTTTTTCTTTTTCTTATTAGCTGAGACTTTAGAATTTTTATTAACTACATTAGTCGTCTGTATGAATGACTAAAGAAAACATACTTTTTGTAATTTCTAATTAGTTATACTAAAATCTCAACTTTTGGCTGGGCGCGATGGCTCACACCTGTAATCCTAGCACTCTGGGAGGCCAAGGCGGGTGGATTGCTCAAGGTCAGGAGTTCAAGACCAGCCTGAACAAAAGCGAGACCCTGTCTCTACTAAAAAAAATAGAAAGAAATGATCTGGACAACTAAACATATATATATAGAGAAAAAATTAGCTGGGCATGGTGGCACATGCCTGTAGTCCCAGCTACTCGGGAGGCTGAGGCAGGAGGATTGCTTGAATCCGGGAGTTTGAGGTTGCTGTGAGCTAGGTTGATGCCACGGCACTCTAGCCTGGGCAACAGAGCCAGACTCTGCCTCAAAAATAAATAAATAAATAAATAAAATCTCAACTTTGTTCAAATCACTAATTTTAAACTTGGGCTTTTTTGAATGTGTTCGTGTTAATATTGTTCATATTCACCAGTGGTTTGCATAGTTTACTTATGTACCAAGTTTTAATTTCCCTTTCAGGTCTGCTAAACAATATGAGAAATGACACAGAAATAAAGTTTCACAGATCTGTCGATGAACAACACATTTCTGTCTGTCTGTCTCTTTTTTTTTTTTTCTGGCTTTGCTTTTAATTTTTTTAAAAAGGTTTCCTGTCAAGAATCTTGAAAAGAGAACATGTGTAGCATTTTTTTTTTTTTTAATAAGCTTATGACAGTGGTTCGCAAAGCATCGTTCACAGGCCAGCATCATTAGTCTCGCCAGGGAACTTGCAGAAATGCAAATTCTCAGGCCCCACCCCAAATCTACTAAATCAGATTCTGCCAGCTATCAGTGTTTTTAACAAGCCCCCTGGATGATTTCAAAACTCACTAAAATTTGAGAACTACTAGTTTATTGCATAGAGCCAGGTTGAACTATGTAGACATTTTTGTTTGTATATAAGACAATTGTGTTGCTTTTTCTGTATAGGTGTCATTGGTTAGCTTAACTGCAAATGCCTTGGGTTACTCAGAACTTGGTGCCATCAAATCCCTCAGGACACTAAGAGCTCTGAGGCCCCTGAGAGCCTTATCCCGGTTTGAAGGAATGAGGGTAAGACTAAACGCTTAGAATTTGTTGCAATTGTAATTGAGAACATACTGACACTGTGTACTTTAGAAATGAAAAATGTATGGAGAATTTGTGTCTTCTATTAATATATTCATACTGACATAACCAATCAATCAATAATAATACTTATCAGATGTCCATAATACTTTGCATGGTATATATCACAGAATATAATGCTTGAGTGATTGTTTCTAATTAACTAGATTTTCACTTGGTGGGAAATCTCTATCAGATTCTGTAGGCTGCTGATCTGAATCAAGATTAGTTATGTTCATTCTATTTATAAATGTGCAGGAAACCCTACTCACTATAATTTTAAACTACCAAATCATTACTCATCATTTCTTCACTGCTCCATATGATGTACTTGGAGCCCTTTGAAGACCGAATCTGGCTTTTAGTATTCAAACACAGGCTGAGATGGCTAAAAAGTAGGTCAACTGTGGAAATCTAGCGCTCATTTAGAAAGGTGGTACAAAGGAACAGGGAGGAATTTGTGCTGACATTTGTCATCCCCTGGGGCATAAAACCTGAGACCACATGCCCTCACCACCTAGAAAATGATACTGTCCTGTTTCAGTGGTTTTCGCTGTTCCAAAGGAACTTTTAGAAAACAATGTTTTTTGTGATATTTGAAAATAGTTACTGAGACTCCATCTGCATGTTGCAAATACAACCAAAGATGAATAGTGTGTGTGGGTGTGGGTCTGTGTATGTTTGTGTACATGGAAAGGAATTGTTAGCTGTTAAATTCTTTTCACTTTACCAACTTGAAATCAGTTTTTACAGCAGTAGGCTTAATAAACAAAGGGTATCAAATTTTCAGCACTAGAATAATTTTTGTATTTTCTGTGTAGAATTTGGTCTCCAAGTGTTCTCATTTACCCTCGAATTTTGGGTAGCAAATTGTACAGTTTACATGATTTTTAAAAACAATTGAGATGTTCACATGATGAGCTTATTTCTGTACTCATGTCACTATTTTTACTCTTAGTTATTCTTTTCATTTATTATTAGTTCCATTCTTTGAGGAAAATTTTCTGCATGTATACCCTTACCTCTTGAGAAAACATTCTACAATATAAAACTTATTTTATACTCTTCTGAGTTATAATTTTAAAATTCTTAGCTGGAGCTACCAGACTTCAGTTTCTATCCAATATTCAACTTTGAAATGGACATATTTTCTTTCAGTTGGCTGTTATTTTTTTATGTTTAAAAATAAGTAAAAGTAAGTAATTATTTGTTGTTGACTTTTTACTTATTTTTCCTTCTCATTCTGTGCCAGGTTGTTGTAAATGCTCTTTTAGGAGCCATTCCATCCATAATGAATGTACTTCTGGTTTGTCTGATCTTTTGGCTAATATTCAGTATCATGGGAGTGAATCTCTTTGCTGGCAAGTTTTACCATTGTATTAACTATACTACTGGAGAGATGTTTGATGTAAGCGTGGTCAACAACTATAGTGAATGTAAAGCCCTCATAGAGAGCAATCAAACTGCCAGGTGGAAAAATGTGAAAGTAAACTTTGATAATGTGGGACTTGGATATCTTTCTCTGCTTCAAGTAGTAAGTAACCACTTTATTATTCTCTGTGATGTATAATTTAAATGAGCCTAAAATGCTTCTTCCCCACAATGAGATAGAATGACTATTATCCAGAAGATAAAAGATAAAGCAAGTGTTGGTGAAGATATGGAGAAAAGAAAACCCTTGCACATTGTTGATGGGAATGTAAATTAGTATAGCCATTGTGGAAAACAGGATAGAGTTTGCTCAAAAAATTAAAAATAGAACCATTATATGATCCGGCAATCCCATTACTCGGTATATATCCAAGGGAAATGAAATCAGTATATCAAAGAGATATCTGCACTCCCGTGTCCATTGCAGCATTATTCACAATAGCCAAGATATAAAAGCAACCTAAATGTCCATCAAAAGATGAACGAAGAAAATGTGATGCATATATATATGTGTATACACATACACACGCAATGGAATAATATTCAGCCTTTAAAAAGAAGGAAATCCTGTCATTTCAACAACATGGATGAAACTGGAAGACATTATGTTAAGTAAAATAAGCCAGCCACAGAGAGACAAACACCACATAATCTCACTTATATGTGGAATCTTAAAAAATCAAACTCATAAAGGAAGAGAGTGGATTGGTGATTACCAGGGGTTAGGGGTGGAGAAATGGGAGATGTTGGTCCAAGTATGCAAAATTTCAGTTAGACAGGAGGAATAAATTCTGTGTATCTATTGTACAGCATGGTGACTATAGTTAATAGAAATGGATTGTATACTTGAAAATCACTAAGTAGATTTTGTTTTCTCATCATGAAAAAATGATAAGTATGTGAGATAATATATATGTTAATTACCTTAAGTTAGCCATTCCACTATATATATATATATTTTAAAACATTGTTTTATACAGCATAAATATATATAATTTTTAGTTGTCAATTAAAAAGTAATAATTTCTTAAAAAGGCATTTAAAACAAAAAAGCATATACTTTTTAGGAACATTATGTTGATGCAATAAACTATATAAAAAGAATAAAATAAAATAAAATTCTTCTTCCTCAGTGATTGTAAACATTTCTTTATGGCCACCTTCCTCAAGATTGCTGAGCTATCTTTTAAGCACCATATTGGAAACAGGATGGCTCTATAAAGTGTATAGTCTCTCAGACTATGCATTAGGTAGCCCAGGACAAGTCCTTTGTTACTGGGATTTGTATTTAGGTTCCCATAGTTTTCCCCCATCTCTGCTCTGAGCGAAGTAGAGATGCTGGTTCCGGGGAGGTTGGAAAGGTGTGTACGTGTTGGGGTAGTGGCAGATTTCTACACTCCTTCTCAAGTACCAGACAGTCTCTAAACCCTTGTCGGGTCTCCACACACCCAAACCTCACCACCAACACAACCAGACCCCTCACCTTCACACCCTCCCCCAGACTCCCACCCTGTTTCTGCCTTTCTGCCTCCTAGTTGAACACTTTCAGATAGAAAGATTGCTCTCTTACAAATGAAAATCAAGACTATTATGTCTGCTATAAATTCTTAGGAATTCATTCAGCTCCTCAACTGACCACAGTATGTCATATCCACTGGCTCCTGGAGGCAATGCATCTACACAATCCTCAATACTATAGGAATAGCCAGGGGAGGGGCAGCACCTATGGCATCAAGGCACTGAAAACATGTACAAGACTTTTGTTTTCAGGATTACTATGTCCACACATGGAAAACAAATGTTTAAAAGAGTAAATTAAGTTGAATATATTTGTTTTCAGACAAGGAAATTATTACTTCTTACAGAATAATTGCCTCAAAATAGTATGTTTAACAATATTAAGGATATTGCAAGAGTAAATGCTCATGATTGGTGATTGGTGATAATACCATTTAGAAAAGATTTTTAAAAAATGGTGAACCAATATGTCTTGTATTAACCTGGATGGAACTAAAGACCATAAGTGAAGTATCACTAGAATGGAAAAACAAACACCACATGGGCTCACCATTAAATTTGGACTAATCAATCAACACTTACGTGCACATATGGAGATGGGTAAATTCACATCTAACTGGTACAATGCACACTACATGGGGGATGGGCACACATAACTTTGACTCAAACAGTACAAAAGCAATTTATGTAACCAAAACATTTGTACCCCTGTAATATTCTGAAATTTTAAAAAAGAGAAGAAAAAAGAGAAAAGAATAAGTAGAAAAGAAAGCATTAAGATCAAATAATGCAGCATACTTTTGAACTTGTCTCATGCTGGTACTTTAGACATGAAATTCTTTCACCAATTTTCACATAAATTCTTTTAATCACATAAGAGTCAAAGATTGTTGACATTGCTTTTATGATAGCATATTGTTATAGTAGATCGTGATTTAATTGTAGATGTTAGATATGCATATAAAGAGGTTATAGGAGAATATAAAATTGAAGTGTTTTCAATGCGTATATCATAAAACATAGCCCAAAGAGTTTAAATTTTAACTTCAAACTATTTTATATACCTGTGTCTGAATATAGGTCAAATTGAGTCTTGGTCAATTACTCTGATACTTATTTTCTAACATTATAATTTAAGGGAAAAACTTAATTATATGACTTTTTTACAGGCCACATTTAAGGGATGGATGGATATCATGTATGCAGCTGTTGACTCACGAAATGTAAGTCTATTTAGAGGGAAATTGTTTAATTTGATCGAGTGAATATTTTCACAGTATTTTAATTTAGTGCTATTGTCAATAAAATAAAACTATGGATTGTTTTATAGAACACATCTGTATTATAAAAATAAAATATTTAATCTTAAATTATTTCTTTAAAAATTTGATTAGGATGTTTTTCTCTATTAATTGTGAATCTTTTAACATATTTTCTAGTATTTAGCATGGCAACTGACATGAAAATTTATTGACTGTATTTGCAAAATGAGTGAGACATATTATTTTTAAGTCTGATTGTACTGGCCATTTTTGCTTTAGAAATTCTCCCAGGCAATTTTCTTCATCTGTCATAGATTTCCTCCAGCTTTTTATCTTTTTTGTAATAGGAAGGATATGACTAATGGTGGAGAAAAATATTAAGAAAAAAATAAACAAAAAACAATAGTGTTTCTCTCTGGGAACTGAGATTACTTGGTAGAAGGGAGGAATTTTCATAATATACCTTATTTTGAAAATTTTTCTACAATTTCCATTAATTTCTCTCTATTTAATGAGGAAGGAAATCACATTTTAGAAAAAAGAGATTGATTTCTGGTATGCCACAGCATGGTAATGAAGCTCAAAATGCTATTTCCCTAGCATAGCAACTAACTTTCTGAATGAAGAATTCCTGGTTTTTCTGGTTTTGTTTTGTTTTGTTTTGTTTTTACCTTATAAAAACAGAGCATGTGTATACTAAGAGCCCTGCATTGTATCTCTGTAAGTGCTATCAGGAATCCCAGTTATGAGCTTTTTATGAATCATAATAATGATTTATTGTTTATTATTACTCACTATGCTAAGGGTTTTCTTACATTATCTCACATAATCCTAAATAACAACCTTATCACATAGGTGACACTCCATTTTATCATTGAAGCAAAGAGGCCGAACACACTAAATGGTAGAACATGTTTTTGAATTCTGACTACAAACAATGCACTCATAACCGGTAGTTTCCTACCTCTTTAAAATTCCTTTGAAGCTCTCTTCACCTGCATTCTCAACAGCTTATATGACATGCAATTTACTTTCAGTTTCTTCCTTAATAACTTATCAGACACTGTTTGTCACAAAACTCCTCTACATTCAAGTGTATTACAAAAGGTAAAATACAATTGGGCAGTAAAATTATGAAAAGTTTCTGGCTCTTACTTTCATTAGTCATCAGAGAAATGCAAATTTAAAGAAAAATGAGACATTACCTACACATCTGCCAGATTGGCAATGTTAAAGTTGGACCAATGCCAAGTGTTACCAAGCATAAAGAGCAATAAGAACTCTCATAAAATGCAGGTAGAAAAAAAATAGATAAATATCCTTTTAAAAACTGTTGGGCATTATTACATTATTTGATAAAGTTTAAGATATTCTTTAACCCGGCAGTTCTACTTTTAGCAATATATCCTATAGAAACTTGTGTACATGGATAGGATAATGTTTGTATAAGAATAAACATAACTTCTTTCACTAGTAAAAACTGAAAACAACTCAAAAATAGTAGGAGTGAACAAATAGTTGACTATTATGTAGTGGTTGAAATGAATACAGCATATTCAACCACGTGGATGAATCTTAAAAATATAACATTGAATTAAAAAAACTAAACACATACTATGATTTCATCTATATAAAGCTCAAAGTCGACGAAACTAAACTTACCATTCAGGCTTGCATGCTTACATGTTAACGCTAAAGAAAAAGCAAGGAAATAATTATCACAAAAGTCAGGATAAAGATTACCTCTAGCAGGGATGGTAGAGTTTATTTTTGAGAAGGATACACTAAGTGTTTCTGAGATCCTGACAATATCCTGGGTTGTGGATTTCACTTTATAAAAATATATTACATTTTATATTTCTGTGCTATGCACTTTCCTGTATGTGTACTGTCTTTGATTTAAAAAGGAGTAGAAATATAATTTTATATCACTGTCCATTAAACACATATATGCATAAATAAGTCTCATCAAAGAATACATAGTTTTATAATATTTCTGATATTTTCTATTTTATTTTTTTTAGAAAAAATATCATGTTGGTCAAAACCCCTCCAAATTTGATTTCACAATACAATGGGTCAATAGCTACACCCATTATCATCAGTGATTGGTTAACTGAGTGGGTTAGAACAATGTCCTGTGAGATTTGAACTGTAGATTATGATCAAAGCTCAAACCAACTATCGCGTCTTTTACTAATCAAAAGTGGGCTGGACAAGAGAGGGTGTCATTGTTACAGAAACAGTGCCTACTGAATAGGATGAATCAATAGACTCATTTTCAGAAAAGAAAGATCCTACCAATATACCTATATACAGACATGATGATTCTAGCCTATCTAAAGAAATGTGTAATGTACATCAAGCCCTCATATTTTGCGATTACTACTGGCCAGGCACTGTTCTAAGCACTTTCCATATGTTAATATATTTAATTTTCACAACTACCTTAATAGGTTTAGGTTCTATTAGTTCCAATTTACATATGAGAAAACTGAGGCAAAGAAAGTAAATCTTAAAGGTTTTAACATTGAATACTGTGACTCTAACATCTCTTCTGTAGGAAGAGGAAATCCTTAATTTGCATATCATGTTGGGATCTTTGCTTTCAAAGGAAAAGTGCATTCATAATCTAGATAGTTATTGTGTGAAATTATTTTTAATTATTCAGACTTTTCTATGGTTATTTCATTTTCCCAAGTCAATGATTGGTCTTACAAGACTCTTCAACAAGCATGACTGATTCAAAGGTTCATAAAGTCTGTTTAATGTTTGGTTTCTTTTCATTTCCAGGACTGAAACATGCTTAGAGAATTGAAAATTCACTGATGTGCTTTTTATGAAACAAGTATTAGATCTAATGGTTATCATTCTTCATATTTTGTAGGTAGAATTACAACCCAAGTATGAAGACAATCTGTACATGTATCTTTATTTTGTCATCTTTATTATTTTTGGTTCATTCTTTACTTTGAATCTTTTCATTGGTGTCATCATAGATAACTTCAACCAACAGAAAAAGAAGATAAGTATATTAAAACTTCATCTTTGCTCTAACATGTGAACTAAATACATCACACTGTTTCAATTAGACTCCAAAATGTAGTCACCAAAAGAATATCAAATTCAGAAATTATTTTGAGAGATTTAATAAACTGTAAGTTTTAAAGTAATTGATAACTCAGTATGTTTTGGTATTTTTAGTTAAGAAATATGACTGACCAATATGGCATAATTTATATATTGAATATATGCATCTCCATAAATACAGATATTAGCAACATTAGAATGAAGTATGGGAGCCAATTTTCACACATTATTAAGGTGGGTTTTATAGCCAACAAAGAACATGATTTTAACAAGTTTTGCTTTCATTTCTTTACTTTGGAGGTCAAGACATTTTTATGACAGAAGAACAGAAGAAATACTACAACGCAATGAAAAAACTGGGTTCTAAGAAACCACAAAAACCCATACCTCGACCTGCCGTAAGAATAGCATACTTTCATTGCCAGTCAAAGCTATGTTATCTATCACTTATACAGCCAAAATTGCTAGAAACTAGTATTTTGTGAATTTGCAACACAAAGTTTTTACCTTAACGATATGACTAGCTAGCCTAAATAGCCTGAATATATGTATTTTATATATATATATAATATGTATAAATTATGAAATATATAGCATATTTCACATATAAACATATAAAATATAAATAAAAATTTCAGACTTAAGTACTGTCACACAAATTGATGTCACTGAGGAGCTTCTAATCATGTGGAGAAGAAGACACATACATACATACATACATTATGTGGAAATATTCAATGTTCTCAGTGTGCAGTGGGGACTGATTGGAATAATTGGTATATATCTCAGGCCCCATTTTCTGTCCAACTTTGCAGATTGAATGGAATCATTAATGAAACAGGTCACAGGTTTTGGTTTTTTCTGGTTAAAAAAAAGTAGCCAATCCTCATATTCTCCCCTACTGTCCTGCCCTTAAATGAGATGATATTATTCTCTTTATAACTTTTTATGGTTCTTCCAATTGTATATTTGCCAGTGACTGCTGGTTGTATTTGGTTGCTACGGGGAATTGTTTTCAGGAGAGTCCCTGAGATTTTCCATCACTCCTGAAGGAATAGCTCAGATATTAAGGCTCAGAACTCCTCCCCCAAGGTATACATGTTGTAAGGCAATGCAATGCTCCCCAGGAATCTTGATTCCCTGAATCCACTGATGACAGTATAAAACTGGCCATGATCAAGTGTTCAGTTTTTAAGTCAGCCAGTAGCTCAGAGAAAGCAAATAGCTATATTGGATAAAACATAAGAAATGTGCAATTCAAGTATAGTCTTTGGGAAATAATAGTTTGAATGGATGGAAAGAAAAGCAGAGGACATTTCTTTATGAGCAAATGTAGATTCCAAAGCCATAGAAATAGTATCAGTGGGGAATAGTGATGCATTTGAATTAGTGAGCAGTAGACGCAAGGTTTTCTGGGTTAGATGAGTCAAGGATACCACAAGAGTCTGAAGAAATTGGTCTTAATTTCTTAGGTAGCCTGAACCAGAGTGATGTAGAGATGAATAAAAGTGGATGGATTTATGAGCTATAACTAGAATGAAATTTAAAAGTTTTTCTATTAATTGAACTTGGAAACTAAAGAAGGAACTAACAAGGGACTGATGAGCTTCTGCTTTGCACAACTAGATGAATAATGGTGTCATGCAGGATATGAAGAAGGGACACAAGTGGTGAGAAAATTGGAGATTCTAATTTGCTGAATTTGGGATCCAAAAGTAGAGTGAGGGAGGGAGAAAGAGGAGGAAGGGAGAGAAGTGATGAATATTTAAAAGAAGTAGTGAAATAAAGATTTTTTTAAGATTGAGAGATTAGATTTAAAGCAAAGCAAAAGGAGTTCTGGAGAGGAAGAGATTATAGAGAGAGGGACTAAATATGGAATAAAGTTGCACAGGATGTGGGATAAGGATATAGTAGTCTACGTTAGATTTAGAGAGAAAAAGAGACTGAATCTTCTAATGAATTTAGAGTACTGTATGAAAAGAATGTGGAAATCAAGATAATATAAAATGCAAAAGATAGTAGAGGAGTTTCTTTACACTGATTGACCTTGATGTTCTCAAAAAAGAGTTAAAAATGGAGGGCAAGAGAATAGAATTTCTGAAGAGTTTGGAATTATCCTGGGAGCAAATGAGGGACCAAAGATTGCTAATTGCTAATCTGGAGGACCAAGATAAAGTTAGAGAACATAAATATTTGTTGAACAAAACCTTCAGGGTTATACAGCTTCTTCTAGCACATTCTACACCCTAGAGTTTGAATTGGAGACAGCAGTGACTCAGGATTGGAGTTGTACATTGAGGTATCCCATTGAAACACTATATGGGCAGGGAATCTAAGGAGATTTTTATTGGTTGTGCTGATATAAAAATTAAGACCAAATTTCTGCTTTTGGGGTATTTTGAACTTAATCCACCCTAGAGGCTATAGCTGTGAGAAAAATGACACTGCTCTGTACTTGAGGAACCTCCAAAAAATGGAAGAGGGAGAAAACTAAAATTAAATAAAAGCAAACTATTTGTAATACAATGTCATAATACAATGATGGGTAAAAGATCAAAGTTTTCTGAGAGCAAAGAGTACTTAAAACTTAAAATTGAGTTAGAATTCACCAGCCAGAGAAGGCACAGGGGAAGGTTGTTTTAGATAGAGGGGACAGTTAAACAAGGTAAAATGATACGGTAGAACCTACATGTTTTACTAAGAGTGGTAGGTAGGAACTATCAGAGAGGAATGTACCGGACCTGGAAAGGTAAACAACAATGCATGAGAACTAAGAAGGAAGGGTTTGAACTGAAATGAGATGCATTTATTAGCTTGAAGGAGGCCCTGGGAGGACAGATCCAGCTGAAGAAACAGAAGTCCAGTCCAGCAGGCCAAATATGTATTCAGAGACAAAAGCAAAACAAAAGAGAACAGGTAGTGTTTGAGGTCCAAAAATTTCAGTTGGAAGTAATGGAAGCCTCACACAGGGAGAGCACAGAGCACTAGTATGGAGAATCCAGAACAATAAAAGTTTCAGGATCTGGGAAAACAAGCCATTAAGTGTATAGATACCAGAGTAGCAGACACTCTGTTGAAAAGGTAGAGAAAGACCAACAGAAGTAAGTCAAAACCCAAGCCCTAGAGTGTCTGAAATACAGAGCAGATACAGGCAAAATGGAACAAAACAAGAGCCAGTGATCAGAACTGCTTTACAAGTTGAGGATTTAATTTCATAAATAAGACACAAGACCAGTTAGTGCTTGGAAATAAGGTCCAAATTGACTAGGCCAAAGGTTGAATGTCTACATTGTGAACTATAACTTTTCAAACTGTAACTTCTTATAGAATAGTTACCCATATAATCTCCAAAGAACTTTCCCTTATTTTAACATCTTATATCACTATAGATCAGTTATCAAAACTAAAAAAATTACCTAGGTATAATATTATTACATAAAATATAGAACTTAATCAGATTTCACCAGTTTTTCTATTACTGTCCTTTTTTTTTTGAACTATAATTTTTAAAACATCTTCTCACCTGGATATTAAGATTGAATTTAAGATGATGTCACTTTAGTGAGAGAATATAAATGCAGAAACCAGAAAAAAAAAACACGAGAGGAAAACCTAGAGAAGTACTTGTTTATTAGCTCTTTAAAGTTAAATTTAATGCCCTCCCAACAAATGGGATAAACAGATTTACTATAGTAGCAAATATTTACTAACTGTCCATCATATCTTGATGATATTCTGGGCCTTGAGAACATAACTGGTGGTACTTAACATACAGTGAGTGTATAGAATCTGGTATTATGAATAGTAAAAATAAAAGAAATATATTTGAAAAAAGTTGGATATTACAGTATAAAAAATTTCCTTCCAAGCATAAAACAAACATGCTGTGTTTTTTTATAAAAGCTACATTTTAATATTGCTTTGTTAAAAATCAGATAAGTTGAATTAGATTTTTTTTTAAGTTTCTAAGGGAACTTTTACATATTATTTATTCCAGAACAAATTCCAAGGAATGGTCTTTGATTTTGTGACCAAACAAGTCTTTGATATCAGCATCATGATCCTCATCTGCCTCAACATGGTCACTATGATGGTGGAAACTGACGACCAGAGTCAAGAAATGACAAACATTCTGTACTGGATTAATTTGGTGTTTATTGTCCTCTTTACTGGAGAATGTGTGCTGAAACTAATCTCTCTTCGTTATTACTATTTCACCATTGGATGGAATATTTTTGATTTTGTGGTGGTCATTCTCTCCATCGTAGGTAAGAAGAGGTTCTCAAGGAATTTAGTAGTAACAATTTGTGTTTTAACATTTTAGAGGTGTTTTTTACTAATCTTTCTTATTTATCCTGAAATTCCAAATAAAAATCTAATACTCGATTCTTTAGTTTATCATTTCTGTAATTGTCTGCTGTGCATAAAATGATATGTTAAAAAAATTTATTTTTTATAAATAATTCACACACATATATCATTAGAAGTAGTCAAATAATCCATAAATATGATCTCTTTTATAATTGGAAGAGTGTGTATGTGCATTCATATACGTAATCATGCATATGTAAACTTCCTGTTATCATTGGTTTCAGACAGTTTTCTATGGTTTGTAATATTTCTTTTTGGAAATAGAAATTCTGTTTAAAAATCCAAAATCAATTCATTATAACCAATATATATTAAATGTTTATGTATAGATATTAAATGAGGTGCTAGAAGTAAATATAAGAAGATTTAAGACAAAGTTCTATTTGAGGCAAGGGAATATAATATATACACAGAGAGAAAAATAGGATATCACTCTTTATGCTACTTTCTCTGATGGAAAGGAATATTCTAACGATGTGCTATTCCATTTGCTCATCACATCAGTGCTGTAAATAGTAATATGGTAATTAAGAGATGAGACTTAGGGGTCATACAGATCTGACCTGGAGCTTCCCTATTTCCACTTCTTACCTGCTCTAACCGAGGGCAAGTTACCTCAGCTCTCCAATCCCTGTTTCTTTAAGGAATATTTCTACAAGGTGTTATTGTGAGGATTAAATCAGATTACGTAAGTAAATGCATTTAGCACTGTGCCTAGCATGAAGAAAAGACTCAGTAAATGTTAAGTTTAACAACAGAACGTTTGTATCATCACCATTGAGCGATGTATGAAATCAAGAGCGGCCAGGATTCAGTCTCAAGTATATCTGTCTCCAAAGCCTGCATTTTCTTCTGTTCATCATTCTGCCTCCTCCCAAATAAAAGAGGGTTGCAGCTTTTAAAAACTCTCATATTCCTGATCCGAGATCACATGCCTTATCCTTTAGTTCTTATGCAAGTACTAGTACTAGTATTTTGGAAATATAAATCCATTTCTGTGCTTGGCTACTGTATACTGTGACATCTTTAGACCTTCAATGGTTGAGTCATTCTTTTGAAAAATTCTTTTCTTGAACAAGGAAAAATCATCATTAATATTTTCATTTAATATAAAGACATTAATGTTATAACACCAAACACACCAATTTCATTTTTCTGAACCAATATTGCAGATTATTTGCATATAATTTTCATGTTTACATTTTGTAAAACTAGGTAGCACTTATAATGTAAACTTTCATTTGCTGCTTTTAAATATAACATTATTTTTTGTTTTCATTGATTTTCCACAGGTATGTTTCTGGCTGAGCTGATAGAAAAATATTTTGTGTCCCCCACCCTGTTCCGTGTGATCCGTCTTGCCAGGATTGGCCGAATCCTACGTCTGATCAAAGGAGCGAAGGGGATCCGCACGCTGCTCTTTGCTCTGATGATGTCCCTTCCCGCGTTGTTTAACATCGGCCTCCTGCTCTTCCTGGTCATGTTCATCTATGCCATCTTTGGGATGTCCAACTTTGCCTATGTTAAGAGAGAGGTTGGAATTGATGACATGTTCAACTTTGAGACCTTTGGCAACAGCATGATCTGCCTGTTCCAAATTACCACCTCGGCTGGCTGGGATGGATTGCTGGCACCTATTCTTAATAGTGGACCTCCAGACTGTGACCCTGAAAAAGATCACCCTGGAAGCTCAGTCAAGGGAGACTGTGGGAACCCATCTGTTGGGATTTTCTTTTTTGTCAGTTACATCATCATATCCTTTCTGGTTGTGGTGAACATGTACATTGCCGTCATCCTGGAGAACTTCAGTGTTGCTACTGAAGAAAGTGCAGAGCCCCTGAGTGAGGATGACTTTGAGATGTTCTACGAGGTTTGGGAGAAGTTTGATCCTGACGCGACCCAGTTCATAGAGTTCGCCAAGCTCTCAGATTTTGCGGATGCCCTGGATCCTCCTCTTCTCATAGCAAAACCAAACAAAGTTCAGCTTATTGCCATGGATCTGCCCATGGTCAGTGGCGACCGGATCCACTGCCTCGATATTTTATTTGCCTTTACAAAGCGTGTTTTGGGTGAGAGTGGAGAGATGGATGCCCTTCGAATACAGATGGAAGAGCGATTTATGGCATCGAACCCCTCCAAAGTCTCCTATGAGCCCATCACAACCACTTTGAAACGCAAACAAGAGGAGGTGTCTGCTATCATTATTCAGAGGGCTTACAGACGCTACCTCTTGAAGCAAAAAGTTAAAAAGGTTTCAAGTATATATAAGAAAGACAAAGGCAAAGAATGTGATGGAACACCTATCAAAGAAGATCCCCTCATTGATAAACTAAATGAGAATTCAACTCCAGAGAAAACCGATGTGACACCTTCCACCACTTCTCCACCTTCGTATGATAGTGTGACCAAACCGGAAAAAGAAAAATTTGAAAAAGACAAATCAGAAAAGGAAGACAAAGGGAAAGATATCAGGGAAAGTAAAAAGTAGAAAGAAACAAAGAATATTCCGTTTCGTGATCAATTGTTTACAGCCTGTGATGGTGATGTATTTGTGTCAACAGGACTCCCACAGGAGGTCTATGCCAAACTGACTGTTTTTACAAATGTATACTTAAGGTCAGTGCCTATAACAAGACAGAGACCTCTGGTCAGCAAACTGGGACTCAATAGCTAGAGAAACAGTATTGACAGGAGGTTTCTATTTTCACAACCAGCTGACACTGCTGAAGAGCAGAGACGTAATGGCTACTCAGACTATAGGAACCAATTTAAAGGGGGGAGGGAAGTTAAATTTTTATGTAAATTCAACATGTGACACTTGATAGTGATTGTCACCACTGTTTATGTTTTAACTGCCACACCTGCCATATTTTTACAAAATGTGTGCTGTGAATTTATCACTTTTCTTTTTAATTCACAGGTTGTTTACTATTATATGTGACTATTTTTGTAAATGGGTTTATGTTTGGGGAGAGGGATTAAAGGGAGGGAATTCTACATTTCTCTATTGTATAACTGGATCTATTTTAAATGAAGGCATGCTGCAATTCTCATTCACACATGAAAAAAATAATCACATCACAAAAGGAAAGAGTTTACTTCTTGTTTCAGGATGTTTTTAGATTTTTGAGGTGCTTAAATAGCTATTCATATTTTTTAAGGTGTCTCATCGAGAAAAATTTTAATGTGCCTGTAAATGTCCCATGCAATCACAAGCATTAAAGAGTTATTTTATTTTTACATAACTCATTATATGTACATGTATATATGTATATATGTATATGTGTGTATATATACATATATATGTATACACACATGCACACACAGATATACACATACCATTACATAGTCATTCAGAGTCCCAGCAGCATGACTATAACATTTTGATAAGTGTCCTTTGACATAAAATAAAAATATCTTATCAGTCCTTTCTAAGAAACCTGAATTGACCAAAAAACATCCCCACCACCACTTTATAAAGTTGATTCTGCTTTTTCCTGCAGTATTGTTTAGCCATCTTCTGCTCTTGGTAAGGTTGACATATGTCAATTTAAAAAATAAAAGTCTGCTTTGTAAATAGTAATTTTACCCAGTGGTGCATGTTTGAGCAAACAAAAATGATGATTTAAGCACAGTATTTATTGCATCAAATATGTACCACAGTAAGTATAGTTTGCAAGCTTTCAACAGGTAATATGATGTAATTGGTTCCATTATAGTTTGAAGCTGTCACTGCTGCATGTTTATCTTGCCTATGCTGCTGTACCTTATTCCTTCCACTGTTCAGAAGTCTAATATGGGAAGCCATATGTCAGTGGTAAAGTGAAACAAATTGTTCGACCAAGACCTCATTCTTCATGTCATTAAGCAATAGGTTGCAGCAAACAATGAAGAGCTTCTTGCTTTTTATTCTTCCAATCTTAATTGAACTACTCTATGGTGAAAAGCCCAACTGTACAAACATGTTGCAAGCTGCTTAAATCTGTTTAAAATATATGGTTAGAGTTTTCTAAGAAAATATAAATACTGTAAAAAGTTCATTTTATTTTATTTTTCAGCCTTTTGTACATAAAATGAGAAATTAAAAGTATCTTCAGATTGATGTCACAGTCACTATTGTTAGTTTCTGTTCCTAGCACTTTTAAATTAAAGCACTTCACAAAATAAGAAGCAAGGACTAAGATGCAGTGTAGGTTTCTGCTTTTTTATTAGTACTGTAAACTTGCACACATTTCGATGTGAAACAAATCTCAAACTGAGTCCAATGTTTATTTGCTTTCAAATAGTAATGCCTTATCATCGGAAGAGGCTTAAGGAAAAAATCAGTTTATATTCTTGGCATTGCTTGAATCAGATGTTTCCACCTAGTCTTTTTATTCAGTAATCATCAGTCTTTTCCAATGTTTGTTTACACAGATAGATCTTACTCTTACTTACCCTACCCGTATGGCACTAGAACTGTATCAGATGTAATATGGGATCCAAGCTTTTTTTCCCCCCCACAAAACCAGGTAGTGAAGTTATATTACCAGTTACAGCAAAATATTTTGTGTTTCACAAGCAACGATAAATGTAGATTCTTTATACTAAAGCTATTGACTTGTAGTGTGCTGGTGAAATGCATGCAGGAAAATGCTATTACCATAAAGAACGGTAAACCACATTACAATCAAGCCAAAAGAATAAAGGTTTTGCTTTTGTTTTTGTATTTAATTGTTCTGTCTTTGTTTCTATCTTTGAAATGCCATTTAAAGGTAAATTTCTATCATGTAAAAATAATCTATCCGAAAAAAATAAATGTAAAGAATACACGTTAAATATAATAATTCATCTTTAAATTTTTTCATGGAATGGAAATTAATTTAGAAGAATGTATTGGATAACTACTTTAATATTGGCCAAAAACCTGGATATGGTATCAGGTAGAGTAGTGGAAAGTTACAACAATTAATAAAAAATTGACTAACATTTTAAGTTGTGCATCCTTTCTCTTTCCTGTCTACCTATTGCTTCATTTTGTTTTTCACTTTTTGGTTACAGTTTCTTCCCTATGTGTTCTTGATCTACTTTTCTATATACTCTTCCATTCCTTCCCTGGGCTCTCAGTATTTTTTATTCAGAATATTCTCCTTGTTTCTTTACTACACACAAAATTTCTTGTTTATTACAGTCTGTGGACAATGACTCCATGCACTTGGACCCTAATAATTTGCTGTCACTCTCAGGTTCAGACAGCATCTCTGTATTCACTTCTACAATTTCCTTGACAAAAATTCTAAGAAAGCTTAGAACTGAGTTCTTCATAATAGATAAACAAAATTCCCAAACAGCACATATTTGGTTTTCCCATTTAATTATGAACAGTTTGGGAAATGTTTCTCAACTACAAATGCGTATTAGAATTACCTGAGAAGCATTTAAAAAAAAAAGAAGCCAGTGATTGAACAAGACCAGACCAATTGAACTCATATCTCTGGAGGTGAGACTTAAGTATCTAATTTTTTTAATTCTCACCATTGATGCTGATTCATACTAAGGGTTGAGAACAAATGAGTTAAAGCATCTTTACCCAATAGGAAAAAAAAAATTCTATAGAAAATGCAACTGTTCTCTTCAGAGCTTCATTATATAACTCATCGTGCACAAAATGAGGATCCTAATTGGATGGCTTTTTGGAGGATTTATCTTATAGTGTTAGAAATTGACATTGATCCATTTTTACTAATGGTTCTCCTTTAGGACAGTAGTTAGTGGAAAGGGAGTTCTACTAGGATAGTTTAGGGAGCTTTTTCTAATTACATATCCACATATACACACAATATGGTGCTCCAACAATTCCCAGTGTATACAGGGTGGGTGACTATGGGGGTAGTCCAGGAAACAGTATAAATTCTTAAAACAGCCCCATGGGTGAATCCTACCTACCTTATTGTGTAAGAACCATTAATCTGCACCCGTGGGAGGCAGCTCACTGTGGCCAGCCATAAAACATACATTCAATTTGTCATTATCAACTCACAAATCTAGACAGGAAAAATTCCCATTCTCAACTTTTCCATTTTCAGGGCACCTCTCACGATTGCTTGATTTCCTGAGCTCTGTGTAATACAGACTAATGCACAATGAGATGGGATGAGTGAAGAGACATGAGGGGAAGAAAAGAAAGTGGAGAGGGGAGGAGAAGGAACAGGGTAAAGCAGGGGAAGCAAGGGGAGTCTAAAAAATGGGAGGGGATCCATCATAAACTGAAGAAGGTCTGCGGTTAATACTTGCAGCAATGGTGCGGGAAAGAGGAAGGAAAAGGATGTGAGAGAAAGAATTTTTCCTTAGCTGTCAGTGTGTTAGATCTGCAATGTAAATATGTTTCTCTCATTTTTTTGAAGAAAAAATACCTACAACAAAGGTAAAGGGGACATTGTGCAAGTAAATGTTAAAACTATTCCATGGATCCATGGATAGCAGGGTTTGTTTTTTTTTTTCATCTGAATTAAATGAATATTTGAGTGTCAACTGTATATCAGCTTTGTGGTAGGAGCTGAGAGATCAAAGATGAACATAACTATTCAAAGGAAGGTTGTAGCCAGAGGTGAAGAACCTTCAAAGTCATGCTATAGAGTCTGAGAATGATTCTGTTGGCAAAGAGAAGTGATTGATTACTTTTGAGCAGTAGAATGAACAGCGAAATCAGATATATCTGTACCTATTTAATCTGGTAGTACTGTGGCTATATTGCCCATTTTTTGCCAATATTTTACACATATCTCATTGGCCAGTTTCTTTATTTTAAAGATTTCTTTGTTCTTTTCTTTTTGTATAATATGTATGTTTTAAAAGATTATAACTAGATTTTTAAAAAAATCCAATCTGACATTTTCTATTCATAGCCTATCTTAATCTACCTAAAATTTATTATATTTGCAGATACATTTGATTTTATTTCTATCGCCTTATTTTGTGCTCCCTACTTTTTGATTTTTTTCCTTATTTCTCCTTTCCTTTCTTGTCTTCTTTTGCATTAATTGTGTTTTCTTTATTTTTCTTTCCTACATTTATTGGAGGAAGTTACACATCATCTCCCTTCCTCCCTCCCTTTTTTCCTTCCTCCATTCCTTCATTTTTTTCATAAGTGATTACTCTTAAATCTTAACATGCTTAATAAGGTGAACTATAATCATTATTTGTACCCTGATCTGGAAAAATGAAGTTTCTTAGACCAACTACATATCATTGCTCACCTCTTATGTGTTATTTTTGTCTACTATTTTAACTCAACCTTGATTGAGATCCTCCAAAATTAAACAGTATTATCATTACGGATTTTAGACAGTGCTTATTTAGACTTACATGTTAATTAATTTCTTTCCTCAAAATTGCTGTTTCTGCCAACTTCTTCATTTTGTGTTCATTTTTTTTTGAACTACATCCCTTACGGATGCTATTTGTAAGATCATTAGTGGCGAACTGATTCCATTTTTCTTTTTCAAAAAATGACTTCATTTTAGCCACATTTTTAACTGATTACCTTAGATTATAATTATTTTGGTATTTTTCAATTTTATGGGTCTATTTATAAAATTATTTTTATTAATCTGACTCAGAATTTATGCTAATGTAATTTTGGGATTCATACATTTATTAATATCTTTAATTTATAAAATTCCAGGAAAATTATCAGCTTTTAGCTCTATAATTATTTTCCCATTTCGTATTTTTTTTTTTTTTTTGAGACAGAGTCTCTCTCTGTTGCCCAGGCTAGAGTGCCATGGTGTAAGCCTAGCTCACAGCAACCTCAAACTCCTGGGCTCAAGCGATCCTCCTGCCTCAGCCTCCCAAGTAGCTGGGACTACAAACATGCGCCACCATGCCTGGCTAATTTTTTTGATATATTTTTAGTTGTCCAGCTAATTTCTTTCTATTTTTAGTAGAGATGGGGCCTCGCTCTTGCTCAGGCTGGTCTCGAACTCCTGACCTTGAGCGACCCACTTGCCTCGGCCTCCCAGAGAGCTAGGATAACAGGCTTGAGCCACCGCGCTCGGTCTCATTTCGTATTTTTTTAATATTGTCCATCTGGAACTCCTTAGGGTTATATGTCAAACTTCTAAATCTTTTCTCTATGTCTCTTAACATTACTTTCTTATTTTTTAGCGCTCTACCTAGGTACTTTGTCTGGGTTTTGGTATCAGGATAATACTGGCTTCATAAAACAAGTTGGGAAGTGTTTATTCCCGAAAGAGTGTGAGATTATTTCTCCCTAAAATATTGATAAAATTCACCAGTAAAGCCATCTAAAGCTTGTGTCTTCTTTGTGGGAAAGTTTTAATTAAAGATACCAACAGGTATAGGACCATTAAGATTTTTTAATTTTTTTAGATTTGACAAGTTACATTTTTCCGAGAATTTGTTCATGTAATATATTATTATTGAATTTACTGCATAAATTGTTCCTATTATTCCCTTATTGTACTTTTAAAATCTGTGGCATCATATATTTTCATTCATTTCTGGTACCGAAAATTTGTACTTTATCTCTTTTTCTTGATTAGCCTATTTAGAGGTTCTACAATTTTATTAATGTATTAAAAAATTCAATCTTTGGTTTGTTGATTTTCTCTATAGTTTTTCAGCCTTTTATTTTATTAATTTCTGCTCTTTCCATCTCTACTACCATGCTTTTCTTTTGTTTCCTTAGGGATGAATGTTCTTTATAACATTGAAGAGGTGTGGTAATAATGGTTAACTTTGTTTTATTTCTAATATGAGTGTGGGAAAACTTTAAATAATTCACTATTAAGTATGCCATTTGCTAGATTTTTTTTTTAAATAGATGCCCATTATCATCTTAAAGAGGATCCCTTCAGTTCCTAATTTTCTAAGAGTTTTTAAAAATCATAAATGCTGAATTTTATTAATTTTTTCTGCATCTTATTTAGATAATGATATATCATTTTTCTTCTGTGCGTTGATATTTTGGTAAATAACATTGATTGATTTTAGGATATTAATCCCAATTATGTTCTTGGAATTGAATCCATTTCATCATTTGCATTATCAATTTTGTATATTGTTTTACTTAGTTTTCTAATATTTTGTTTCATATTCTTGTATTTATGTTTGTGAAAGAATTTGGCTCATAATTTTTCTTTCTTTTAATGTGCTTATTAGATTTTTAAATCAAGGTTATGCTAACCTCTTAAATTTGAAAGAGTTTTTTGTTGTTCTCTGACATAATCAAGTAAGATTGGTGTTAATTTTTTCTTAATTATTTTGATAATTAATTAGTAAAATCACTTGGGTTTGAACTGTTTGGGGTATAACCTTTTAACTATGCATTTATTTTATTTGCTAAATAGAGGGCAATTGAGATTTACTGTTTCTTTTTGCTTCAGCTTCTGTAACTTGATAAAATTTCACATTGATTTATGTAAAATTGTTTATAACTATATTATTTTTTAAAACTGTAGGCTCTGTAGTAATGACCCCTTTGTAATTCCTGATTGGGTATTTGGTGACTTTTCATGACTTATTGAATCTTTCAAAGAATCTACTTTTTGGCTTTTTAAATCTTCCCTATTAAAAGTTCTTTTTTTTTTTTTTTTTTGAGACAGGGTCTATGTCACCCAAACGAGAATGCAGCGGCATCATCATAGCTCACTGCAACCTCATACTCCTGGGCTCAAGCAATCCTCCTGCCTCAGCTTCCTGAGTAGCTGGGACTATAGGTGTACACCACTATACCCAGCTAATTTTTCTATTTTTCATAGGGACAGGGTCTTGCCTTGCTCAGGCTGGTCTAGAACTCTTAGCCTCAAGCGATCTTCCTGCCTCAGCCTCCTAAAGTGCTAGCATTTCAGGTGTGAGCCACCATGCCCGGTCCTGTAGGTACTTTTCTATTTCATTATTATTATTTTTTGCTTTTATATTTATAATTTCCTTCCTTCTATTTCTGTGGCTTTAATTTATCATTACTTTCTAAG